TTTCAGTACGACGTGGTGTGACAAATAGTGTCTCTCCTTAGAGTTATCATTAGTTACAACTTCGATGAATTTGTTTTCGAGCTGTTGTTGGATTATTCCATGGTACAATTTCAGGTTCTCTGGTTGTCTATTCAGGTGCAACACCTGAGACCTTAATTGGTTTTGTTACATGAAATGATCAACTGGAAGCTGAGGGTGATTTTGCTTCCAAGTTAGCCTAACCTGGTATTGATTCTCTTTGTAGGTGGCTATGCCTAAAGTTGCTAGATCCCACAATTTATGTAAAGGTCAATCAAATTCATATTCAGGCATGTCTCTGAACTTAAGTGGTGACTTCTCACCCAACCATGAATGGGTTGACTACTTGGTTGTCCACAGGTTTGGGTTGCTTGAGACTCAATACTGGGCCAGCGAGTAAATTACCTCCCACAGACAATAACAGGTTCATTCCCTGTCTTTTAGTTTATGCAGTGATGAATTTGTGATAATAATCTGCACCTACAAGTATTCCTATATCGGTGAGGTGATCAGACGTTATTTTATTATCTGCCAACTTAATTCCTCTTTCTTGCAGGAATTTGGCCATTGTTCCTAGACTATACCTTGAGGTTACTTTGAGGAGCTTCCGGGCTTAGCGTCCCAGCCGCCCGGTCGTCGATCAGGCCTCCTGGTTGCTGGACTGATCAACCAGGCTGTTGGACGCGGCTGCTCACAGCCTGACGTATGAGTCACAGCTTGGTTGATCAGGTATCCTTTGGAGGTACTTATCCAGTTCTCTCTTGAACACTCTGAGGGGATTGCCAGTTATGCCCCTTATGTGTAGCGGAAGCGTGTTGAACAGTCTCGGGCCTCTGATGTTGATAGAGTTCTTTCTCAGAGTACCTGTTGCACCTCTGCTTTTCAACGGGGGTATTCTGCACATCCTGCCATGTCTTCTGGTCTCATGTGATGCTATTTCTGTGTGCAGGTTTGGGACCAGCCCCTCTAATATTTTCCACGTGTAAATTATTATGTATCTCTCCCACCTGCGCTCAAGGGAGTACAGATTTAGGCTCTTTAGTCGGTCCCAATAGTTTACATGTTTTACTGAGTGGATTCTAGCAGTAAAGGATCTCTGCATGCTCTCCAGGTCAGCAATTTCTCCAGCTTTGATAGGGGCTGTCATTGTGCAGCAGTACTCCACTCTAGAGAGCACAAGCGTTTTGAAAAGTATCATCATCGGTATAGCATCTCTAGTGTGAAAAGTTCTTGTTATCCAACCTGTCATTTTTCTTGCAGTTGTGACAGCTACTTTATTGTGTTCTTTAAAGGTAAGGTCTTCCGACATGAGTACACCCAGATCCTTTACATTGCCTTTTCGTTCTATGTTATGATTTGCCTGAGTTTTGTACGTGGTTTCCGTTTTTATATGTTCATTTTTTCCAGAGCGCAAGAGCTGGAACTTATCTTCGTTAAACACCATATTTTTTTCTGTAGCCCATAGAAAGACCTGATCAACATCTGACTGGAGATTTGCCGTGTCCTCTATGTTGCCTACTCTCATGAAGATCCTAGTGTCATCTGCAAAGGATGATACAGTGCTATAGGTTGTGTTCTTGTCTATGTCCGATATGAGGATGAGAAAAAGTACTGGAGCAAGCACAGTACCCTGGGGGACTGAGCTTGCTCTGTTAATCCACAAGGGACTGAGCATCACGTCCCTTGTGGATTAACTATGAACATATAGTTCAGATGGAATTTTGTCGACAACTATGGCCTGTACAGGTTGGGCATAACTGCCTAGGCCTACTAGTGGTTGAACCATTCTGTAGTCTTTGGGGCCCTATGTTTGTCAGAAACCCTGATACGATTAGTTTTACCTGTCGTAGTGGTTTAAGTTTTAAGGTATCAGTCACATTCTTTGTGACTAATGTCTTTTGGGATCCTTGATTAATTACTAGTTGGGCACTGGGCAAAGTCACATTGTTGTCTGAGTTCGTTGTTAGGACACTTACATCCTGATGTACTTTTTAAACTATTCATTCATTCATTTGACAAATAGATGTCATTTGACCTTTAACCTGAATACCCAACAGCACTTGCGACTATTTTATGCATATATATATTTCATATTTCATGAAATCACTTCAGCATGATAGGGCTGCATGAGCAATATTTATGCATCAAGCTTGAATAGTTCCCAAGCCAACATGCATCAGAAAACTCTTGACCCCCTGAAGGATTCGAGACAGATCATTCACTGAAACGACTTTTCCAATAAGAAATAATGTAAATTGAATTAATCAGTCCCACACACCCAAAAATATTAACTTGAAATGCATTTTAAACAGAAAACCACTCATAGTTTTACTTTACCCTAACATTATTAAGGATTCTTGTTGGTATATGGAAGATGGTGAGGAGGGAGGGGGGGGGGGATATTAGAGTTTGGAAGGGAAGTCCCCCTTTCATTATAATACCAGGCAGTTATGACATTTCTGGGGTACTTTTACATTTTGTAGGCATTCCGCTAGGACCTGGTTGTTGTTCAGTACTGTTTGTGTCATTAAGAGTCTGTCTAAATACACCTTTTTTCCATTCATGTTAACACTTGTCTGTAGTAAGATATCACATTGTCATTAACATATTTGTCACAATAGCCTGCTACAGCTCTACCTGGGTGAGCCTTTTACACAAAATTTTGCAGTTCTTCCCCTTCTGGACACATTTTCCTAGCCAGATCAACCACACACATACCATATTCATGTTTATGGATGATCATTTATTTTCCTGATCAAATCCACAAGGGCGAAGAGGTAGAACAGCTTGTTGACAGAGGCCGGGTGTATGGGGAAATTGTGTAAATAAAACCCCAGTTTGTGTCTCGGAGAAGCTGCGGGATCCGTGCGAGAGCAGTAGCACTCCCGGTTGCAATTCTTTTACCATGTCGTGGCGCAATCAACTAAAGCGCATCTGGGATCACCCTGGACAAAAGTTCGAACCCTCATCACGTCCCTTGTGGATTTGATAATTTCACGTATCACGCTATAGTGATTTCTGTGTATTTGTTTTCCTCTATCATCATCCTCAACCATTTTCTTGGTTTGAACTATATCACAGATTGTCTTGGGACCCTTGGTGTGATATTTAAGTACAAAGTTTCCGTTTTGAAACCGCTACTTTGTGGTTACACTCAGTGCACCGCTACTGTGTGGTTACACTCAGTGCACCGCTACTGTGTGGTTACACTCAGTCAACCCGTTCTCGCAAATTTAATAAGTCAATATTGACTTATTAGTTGCGTGCATAGGTGACATACTAAACATAATGGTTTCCCTTGAAACCTAACCTACTTAGTATGTTAAAATAAGCATCTTATAGCTTCGTAATTACAATTGTTACTTAACCTATTATTGGTATAGGTTAGGTAATAATTGTAATTACGAAGCAATAAGATGCTTATCTTAACATACTAAGTAGGTTACGTAAGGTCGGTGTTTTCTATGAAGCTTTTCAAGGGAAACTATTATGTTAAGTATGTCACCTGTGCACATATTTAATAAGTCAATATTGACTTATTAAATTTGCGAGAACGGGTTGACTCAGTGCACCGCTACTGTGTGGTTACACTCAGTGCACCGCTACTGTGTGGTTACACTCAGTGCACCGCTACTGTGTGGTTACACTCAGTGCACCGCTACTGTGTGGTTACACTCAGTGCACCGCTACTGTGTGGTTACACTCAGTGCTCCGCTACTGTGTGGTTACACTCAGTGCTCCGCTACTATGTGGTTACACTCAGTGCTCCGCTACTTTGTGATTACACTCAGTGCTCCGCTACTTTGTGATTACACTCAGTGCTCCGCTACTTTGCGATTACACTCAGTGCTCCGCTACTTTGTGGTTACACTCAGTGCTCCGCTACTTTGTGATTACACTCAATGCCCCACCGTGTGGCGGATACAATCAGTACACCATTACTTTGTGGTTACACTCAGTGCACCATTACTTTGTGGTTCCACTCAGTGCACTGCTACTTTGTGGTTACACTTAGTGCACCGCTACATTATGGTTACAGTCAGCGCACTGCCACTTGGCGGATACATTCGGTTCATCATCACTTGATGGATACACTGAGTGCACCGCCACATGGTGGATACACTCAGTGCACTGCCAGGTGGTGGGTACACTCAGTGCACCGCCACGTGGTTATCTTGAGGTTATCTTGAGATGATTTTGGGGCTTTAGTGTCCCCGCGGCCCGGTCCTCGACCAGGCCTCCACCTCCAGGAAGCAGCCCGTGACAGCTGACTAACACCCAGGTACCTATTTTACTGCTAGGTAACAGGGGCATAGGGTGAAAGAAACTCTGCTCATTGTTTCTCGCCGGCGCCCGGGATCGAACCCGGGACCACAGGGTTCGTGGTGGGTACGCTGAGTGCACCGCCACGTGGTGGATACACTCAGTGCACCGCCACACCGCCACCTAGTGAGTAGCAATATTCAGAGTTCCGTCTCTAGATAGTTGCTAACATGCCCTCCACTACAAACTTCATTAATAGTTTTGACTATTCTAAATCTTGTCATATCCTTTTTTTAACTACTTGCCTTATATTCCTGCTGGGTAAATACTCATTACATAATATTTTCAATGCAATAATTTGCCACCGTGTAACTTGTTCTCTTAACAAAATCTACATCTGAAAATATATAATGCTTAAAGTGCCCTATGAAGTCGCTAACACTTAATAAGTTAACATATCTAGGAGAGGATTCCACCCGAGGCAATCTCAAAGTTGATGTATCTGGGAGAGGATTCCACATAAGGCCGTCTCCTCAAAGGAGGAGAGTTCCATTAACAGACCTTATGTGATTTGCAGGAATAAATATAACATGTTACACCCATTTTATGTTTGTGATATCCATCGTGATATTATAACTACAACAGTTTACTGTATACCTTTTTTATCCTTTAATTATCGAGTATGTTATGAAATTTAGCTGATTTGTTATTTTTTTTAGGTGTGCTGTTCGCTTAACATTAGAGAAGGCGTTGCACAAGATTGCTAAGGTTGAAGAGTTTGACGAGAATCAAGGAAGAAATGACCATGAAAGAATGTTTTAGAAGAAAATGGGACAAGCACCTACTAGCAAGAATCAGGTTTATGAAAGATCAATGTTTCTCACCTTAGTTTTATGTCAGAAGAAAGTCTAATGTTATTAACCTTCAAAAGATTGATGATTTATTTGTTTCCATGGAAATAATTACAAAACCACTTAAGTGCAATAATCGTAAATATAAGTTAATCAGAAAAGAATTAAACTAAAGACATAACGTGGCCTAAATTATCAATGACTGCAAATATATAATGTTTGATATATTATTTGTAAACAAAAGCGGTGTTGCACATATCTCATTCAAAAATATATGTTCATATTGTAGTATTATGTTCAAGCACTTCTGAAGAATGGCTATTTGCAATATTCAATAAACGTTTTGAATTCCTGAAGGAAAAGTAATATATATTTGTAATTTTGGCTGTAAAGGATTATTTTTTAAAGGATAGTATGCAATAAATTATGTTAATTAGTTCAGTTTTAATTGCATAAAAAACTCAGTTGGAATATGAATGTCGTATTGTTTTCAGAGCTAATAATAGTCTTATAATTTGTTATATAAACAATATGATTACTTGTATTTTCACCCACTTGTGTAATAAGATCACGTGTCCCCCACCATATTCTAACCTTCAACACATTATTATACAAAATGTTCCCACCCTACTTAGTGTAAAAAGATCACATGTGTTCAACAAGATTGTAACCTTCATAACATTATTATACAAAATGTTTCTTCCCATGTACTGCTGAAATATGTAGTCATGTTTGTTAAAAAGGACACTTTTTAGTAACATTTAATTATGTCTATTGCAAGGGAAATTTACTTCTCTGAAATGTATTTGTCACTAATGTGAAAGTTTGACCTGATATAATAAAAAAATCCTTGTTCAATACCTTATTTTCATTAACTTGTTAAGTTATGAATCACATCACACACACACTGTTGAGGTATTGATGACACCACAATCCACCCTTTTACCTTGTTAGGTATTGATGTCACCCCCATCCCCACTTTCTTTCCAGCCTGTTGTCATTGTAAGGGGGCTTGGTACGCGGCTACCGGGATGTAATGTGCTCCATGGGACGATCCTCTGTCCTTTTGAAGCCTTATGCTCCTGCTGCCATCTTTACTAATTGTCCTGGTCACTATTTTCTCTTCCTTATGTTTCGTTTTTCCTCCCCCTTCTCCTTTCTCATTGTCTTTCCTGTCGACCTTTTGCCATTCTTGAATCTTCATTCGAACATCTGTTTTAACGCCCTGGAGTTTGGGGAGGCGCTCACTCACCCGTAAAACTGTGGAACCCTACATTGTGAGTGATTGGACGCTTTTTTGTCAATCCTTTCGTTGCTGAACCTGATCTCGATGGACTGATGGTGCATAAGGTGGCAATTGTGAGGTGTATACTCATGATGCATCCCTAGAGGGCCTCAGCTTGTTTCATGTTGGGTGTCCTTATCCTCTAATTGTGGCTCTATGGTGGGGTATGGGGGCTCATTCGTAAATGAAATTATTACCTCCTCGTTTCTATGCTGCTGAATTATCCTCTTATAACTTCTAAGGCTTGTGGGGTGGGCGACCAAGCTCCTGAGTTGGACTTTGTTGGAAGACCAAGTTGTGTAGCTCCCGTTACATTTGGCCCAGACCAAGCTACTCCTTGGACCCGCCTGACAAAACCCCCCTCTGCTTCCCTTCCTCCTCAGTGGTAGGATTGAGCCTTAAGCCCCTTGTGGTGACCACCTTATAACTTCGGGTGGCTACTTCTCTCATTGTGACAACTGCACCATTTACCACCCACCTCCACTCTCTCATTGGGGGTGCTCGACGCCGAATCCCCCACATTCACCCTCGCACAATCCCTTCCAGTGCTAATACGTTCAACACATCCCAGCCGATTTGGTACACGCGTCGTCGCTGCTCCTTGTCAGGATGCAGCTATGCCCCTAGCTGCATTGTCCACCATTGGAGAGACCCATTTAGGATGTCTAGAAAGGCCCGGTTAAATGCCAGTATTGGCACTTATCCTCCCGCACCATGTTGTGACTGGTGTTAGGGACATAAAAGACTGACAAAAGGATATTAAACATATCCTTGAAGCCCGTGTCCATTCTGTCCTCCAGATTGATACGTTCACCCGACCCCCTTGTGGTCATCGTCGTCCGCCTCTTCGAGTTGTAAAAATGACTTGATGGCATGACCTTTCAGCCTTTATAATTTTTGCTAGTGCCCGTTGCTCCGTTCAGGAATACATTCCCTCTCCTAGGCTTTGCAATAAATTCTGGAAATTTGAACATGGTGCCCTCAGATGCATAAGTGTGGCGTGCCTATGCCCCATATGTTGGGACTAAGATCATTCTAAGGCTGAGTGCTCTTTTCCCCAAGTTCGATGTCTCAATTGCGGTGATGCCCACTCTACCTTCTCCCGCAAGTGTATACACTACAAATTTGAGGAAGCCATACTCAGTTTGAAGCACCATGCTTGTTTGTCTTTTCCTGAAGCAAGGTGCCAAGTCCACCGTGACTCCTCTTTCACTAACGTGATGCTCGTGTTCTGCGTTCGACCTTTTTCTCACCCTTCCCTCCTTTCTCAGTCTCGACCGTTTCCAGGCTTTATACCGGGATACACCCACCACCACCTCACCTGCTCCCTTTGTTCTGAACCACCGGGTCCTCCTGGTTCTCCATCTGGTGTTTCCCTCCTTCCTTCCCAGTCTGCTATGTCTCCTATGTCTTCTTTCCCGTCTTCCCTCTTTTCCTTCTCAGCTCTCCCCCCTGTCCATTGACCCTACACACCGCCTGTCTGTCCAGGCTGTTGTCCCATCATTCTCTCCACAATCTTCATGTTTACTCCCGCAATCTTCATGTTCACTCCCGTTCCTCTTCTGTTGAGACAATTGAGTCTGTTGCCCAGTATGTTGCTGCTTATACCTGTTTATTTGAGTCAGAAACATAAGCCTGACTCCTCTTCTTCCACCTCCCCGGTGGGTAAGAAGGCATCGGTTTCTTCCTCGCCCCCCACTATCACAGCGTCCCCCTCCCATTTTGGTGGTTGGGCCTCCTGTCCCAGCTATGGAAGTTCCTTTAGTCCCCTGATTCTTTCGGTTGCTGCTCTTGCTGAGGTGCGCTTCCCTGGTTCTGCCCCCCCCCCCCCCTTTCCCCTTCTGTTCTTGACCACCCCTCTCTGTTGTCTCTTACTCTTGACCCTGTCCGTCCCCCTCTGGTCTGTCCTCCCGCTCCCTTAACTTTATCGTCCTTACTAAGTTTACCCATGCCCTCTAACCCTGATTGGAAATCTTACGGCATCACCATTACGTGTGATACTCCTCTGCCACAGATCTGGAAGAAAATCCGCAAGATTACGGATAAGTTTGTTCCAGATGTCTCACCGGTCCTTCACCTCCGTGGTACTCTTGTGGCGGATCCAGTGATGGTCGCGCTCGAACTGGGTTCCCACTTTTCGGCTGTTGGCTTCGGTTCTCACCTTCCTCAATCCTTCCTCTTTCGTAAGGCCGCTCTTGAATCTCATCCATTAGATTTCCGTACTCATATCCGATTTCCCTATAATGATCCCTTCTCAATCCGAACTTCAGTTTGCTCTGACCCTCTGTGGTTCTATGACAGCAGGCTCAGATGACATTCATTGTGAGATGCTTTGCTATCTTCCTCCATGCACGTCTCAGTATTTACTGAATATGTATAACCTTGTCTGGGAGTCGTCAGTCCCTCAGGGCTGGCTCGATGCGGTTGTTCTCCCAGTTCTTAAAACTGGGATCTCTGGGGTCATCCCCCTAAGGACTTCTGCCCCATTGTCGTCACGAGTTGCGTCTGCAAACTCTTTTGAATGCATGGTCAATGTCCGTCTGATGTGGTTCTTAAACACTATCACCATCTCTCCCCTTCTCAACTTGGTTTTCGCAAGTGCCACGCATGACTGATGTTTTGGTGAACTTGGAGGTCTATATTTGTATAGACCTCCTATTTGCTGCGAAGACCTCCGTTGTTGCTGTCCTTTTTTCCTGGAAAAGGCATACGACTCCACCTGGAGATACCATATTCTGTCCCAACTTCGTTCTTTTGGCTTTCGTGGTAATCTTCTCTTCCACCAAAGCTTCCTCTCTAGTCGTTCCTTTAGAGTGAGGCTTGGTACCACTCTCTCTGCCTCTTTTCGGCAATACGAAGGTGTACCCCAAAGTAGTGTTCTAAGCACTACTATTCCCGGTTGCCCTCAATGGTCTCTTTTCCTCCCTTCCCTCTGGCATCTTGTCCGCTCTCTATGTCGACGATCTTGCCCTCTGCTGTCGAGGTGATGATTTGCCTTTCCTTCAACTTGCGATTGATGCCATGTCGTCTTGGGCCACCAATCATGTCTTCAGGTTCTCTACTTCTGAGACTTGTGCTATGACGTTTACTCGGAAGCAGGTCGTTCTTCGTCCCCCTCTGCCACTTTATGGTCATCCCACTTTGTACGAAGATTCTGTTAAGCTCTTGGGGCTAATCTTTGACACTCGTTTGTCTTGGTTGCCCTGTATCTCTTATCTCCAAGTTAAATGTTCTAAGGCCCTTAACCTCCTTAAGGTCTTGTCCCATATTTCTTGGGGAGCTGATAGATGCACGCTCCTCTCTTTACATTCCTCTCTCGTTCTGTCTAAACTCGATTATAGATGCCCTGTTTACTCGTCTGCTTCTCCTACTCAGCGCCGTCTTGACGCTCTGCACCATACTAGGTTACGCCTCGGCTCTGGTGCCTTTCGTTCTACTCTTACCTTCAGTCTATATTTTGAAGCCGGCGTCCTGTCTCTCAAGGACCGCCATGATTGCTACTGTCTTTGCTACTTTGTGCGGTCCTTACAACATCCTCTCACCCACCCACCCCCGCCTATGTTATGCTTTGACTTCTGCCCCTCCCGTGGTCCCTGTTCCCTTTCACTACCTCCCTCTTTCTGTACAGTTGACTCGCCTTCAAAATTCTCTTTCGGTTAGTGTTACCAATATTTCTCTGCGTGTTGTTCCCTCCTTGCCCCCGTGGAGGGTTCCCCTTCCTAAGTTTGGTAAAACCCTGACCCAAGTGACAAAAGCTTTTACCCCTTCTACAGTTCGAAAAAGCCTTTTCCTTGAACACTTTTTCCTCACGCTCCCACTCCATTTCCG